ATAATGTGAGACATCATCTTATTATATTATCATATTAGTTGTGAACGATTGTTGCTCATCGTAATGTTACGAACTTGTGTTCGTCTTTTTCAAAGTCGCATTCCAAACTTTTACTTTAAGCTTGTGGATTTACAGCGACATTACACTGTTGGACGCGCTGTCAATACATTATTAAATACAAATCCAAGTGACCATGAAGGTATATTGTAGTTATAAAGTTTATTATTTGAAATCTACGTTTCCGAAGTTTGAAACGTTCAATGATAAAATTGACAATTTTGAAAGCTTTTAAAGTTATGCCAGTTTCCCCTCAAAAATAGTATTCGAATTGCGTAGCCAAAGTACCATTTGACCAAAAACCACTGACGTCACTTTGGTGACATTAAATCGAATTCAGTATGGCGAATAGTATGAAAGATACGCGACAACGAGGGCGATATTGTGTCGCTGGTGCCCCGGCTCTGACCAGCAAAACTGTCAGAATAGATCGTTCCGGCACCGGGCATAGAATGTTTCAGTTCCCGAACGATCCCGACTGTAAGAGGAAAATGGGTGAAATTTGTCCGCAGACAAAGAAACGATCTTAACGATCCAATTTGGCCGTAAACGTCGCTTTGTTTGGCAAATTTTGAAGAATTATGCTATGAGCGAAACTTGACTATATTAAACAGCATGATGGAGGCTCAAGGGATGAAGATGAAGCGCTTTTTGAGAAACGACACTGTGCCAACCAGGGACATTAGTTTTGTGCGTGGTGTAAACTAAATTTTAGTGTTTCTGCACCGTATCCTTAAATTGTTTTCTATTTTTCTCTTTGCATACTAATACTTTTTTTAAAAAGTCATTGTAAACAGTCAGCTCCTTTAATGTACGAATAACTTAAAAGAAACTCAATTGAAATATCATCAAAGGCGGCAGATACAAAAGTAAGGAGGGTTGAGTGAGGTAATTTCCAATTGGACTGTTTCTCAGTTTTTGAACCTTTGCTTTTGTGGATCCCTTTACAAAGAGCTCAGCCAAAAATATAGAGCTGGAGCCGGATCGACCATCATTCATAATTCATGTTAATTTTTTAACTACATCTTTTACCTGTAACAAAGTCAATTCCTCTATGGAAACGAAGGAAACTGTGGTTTATTTCATTCCTTTCAATAGGGAGACAAGGAGTTTTGACACCCAGCTGTAAGTATCTATTTTTCTGAATGAAAGACAGTTGAAAGATTAAAAGGTATTGGCGATCTCCTTTGTCTGTCGCTGGTGTCTAACGCTACTTGTTGTTAAATTACTTGATTTGTTTGTGATCACTCTTCCAAAGATAATTAAAAGACACATTGCGACGTACATCCTCCCACAAATGTAAAAAAAAAAAAAGAAAGAAAAAAGAAAAAAGAAAAAAAAAAGGTGAAACTCCTTTTTTTAGCTATTAAGACACTTCTGTGAAGGACTAAAAGAAAAAAAGGGCTATTCAACTGAATCACACTCAACTCCTCCTTGGAAACGTTTGAAAATACGGTGGTCAATTTTTAACTCTTCTAATTGTGGAGACAACAAGTTTTGACACCCAGCTGTAAGTATTGATTTTTCTTGATGAAAAACAAATCATGGCGAGCTCTTTTCATTGTTTCTGGTCTCTTCCAGTTTAATTGCTTTTAGTGATATTGAAGAGCAAGGAAAAATTGGAAATGTCAGAGGAGGCATCCTGGCACATATGGAGTTACAATAGCATTGAGAGGGGATTTAAATTTGATAGAAGACCAGGAGGACTCATCAACAAGGAAGACAATTTCGGAGAGTATAGCTGCAACGATATAAATCAGGATCACAGTTGCTTGTTCTCAACTGCTTCCACAACCCAGCACTGGTTTGGAGCTAAATATGACGTGTAACTTTTTGTGGATTCATTTTCTTCTTAAAAAAGGAAACTCAGCCAACAAAATACGACTCTGAGAAACCATTGGAGCAAGGCTAAGAACAAACATTGACAACATATGTATGATTTCAATTGCGGTCCACCTTAGGGGTTGAACTTGAACTAAACGTTTAACATTTCAGATAGTTACACTGACTCTTTATCAAAAGAGGGCAACCTTAAATACTCAGAATCCATATTTTAATAGTTGAATTTTGCGTTTTTTTAGGCGGTCTTTCCACAAACACTTTTACTTTGACTTTCACTATTCATGCGTTCCATAGATAATACGCTTACAATTCAAAAGTCAAAAGCTCGATAAAATCGTCTTTTTCACATTCTTCGTTTAAAAGTCGTTTACTTCCAATCTTTGAAATTTTTTGTTCATTGAGAAAAAATCTAAGTATAAATGAAATAAAAACTTCATTTCATGGAAAACGCGATTCATCAAAAAACTTTTTTGTTCGCTGCGCTCACTGGTTTTTTTTATGGTTTATCGCAACCGGTGAATAAAAATCGTTCGTACGCACTTTCCAAGGAATCATCTCTATGTATCTGAGATAGTTCTCGTTTTCAAAGCTTAATTCAACGTGCTAGTAATCATTGGAATGAAACCTTTTAACTTAGACTCGCATTTCATTTTTGCATTTTAGCGGTGACAATGTAATAATGACCATGAATTTCTATAGTAATTGTAGTCTTAAAAGCAACTGAGACCTTAGTCGTTTGTATTGCTTGGATCAAATCAACTCGGGGACATGTGTTCTCTGGTAGAGCACTTTTAATGAAGACTTTCTTTGATATGTATTGACTGAAGTTGGTGCAAGTTAAGATTAACGGCATTGATATTTAACGCCATTTTTTCCGTTATGTAGTTGGAAAGACAAAACACTGTGGATCTTGTCACATATCCTTTTACGACATTGCTCACTGATCGCCCTCCTGGGCTTTCTTCAAGTGTAATTTGTTCCTGTTTTGTGTGTTGGTAAAAACACCCCGTGATAGAAGAAGGTGTTTTATTGTTTTTTTAGAGGGCACGGTAACGAATCTTGCAATCTGATTGGTTCTTTACCCGGTCAGTATTTTCCTATCTCTGCCCACGGGCCACGGTAACGCTTTCGTGAGTCGCCGAGTACTTTCGTTGTCATTTTTCATAAATATACCTCGTTTTCCAGCTGGGCAGTATTTTTAAGCAAACACGTCGGTCACTACCTCAAGCCGATAAATAACTTATGAATCCTCTTTTTTATCTCTATCAAATCACTTTGGTTGACAGAAAAATATTGGTTTCAGAATGAATTTGTATAAACAATATTGTCATTACGTTGGTTGACAAGCGGCCTAATAACCGTCTGCAATTAATTTTAATCGTTCACAAAAAGTACCCAGAAAGTTGAAACGTGAGGTATTTGGTTACAGTTAAACTGAACGATGGAACTTTCATTCATTTAAAATCTGAATTTTCCCGAGCAATTTGTTCATAGTAAAAAAGAAGCGAGCGAAGTTTTAATTTAAGTTCTACAACAAATATACGCTCCCGGTGAGTCTTTCCAATTCCGTTCAATTTGGACATTTGTACCTTAAATTGCACAACAGAAATTGAAGGAATTTTTTGAGAAAAGGCCGCATTAAATTCCCTTGTGTCTCGTTGGAGTGTGCCGTTCGAATTTAGTTTTTGTGAAGGAAAGATCAGAGTTAAACACGCCATTACAGGAAACAAACGAGCAAACTCTCACAACTTCAAAATAAAAAAATTGAATTTACTCACAATTACTTTCCTCGCCGTTTACTTAATGAACAGAGGTAAATCTTCGTACATGAATGAATGGTCGATGAGAGTGAATAATACTTTCCGTTAGATCATTGACTGATTTTGAAGAAAATATTGTCGTGACAGTCCTTGCCAAACTAAGTTCTGTTGGTTTTCAAATGTTCCTACGCTTTTTTTTTTCTTGCGCGCTCTCTAATTGACAGGTGTCAGATTGTGACAGATACTTGTAAAAATAATGTTTCAAAGTTTGTTTGGAAGCCTTTTAAATCACCTTTATCGTTACGGAAATGAAAATGTTTCGCTGAGGCATCTCTCTTAAATTTGCATCACCTCTATTTTAACTACCATTTACTCACTCAAAAATTGTTCAGTTTATGGAAGATCTTGCCGTATTTACGGCTATAAATATTATTCGGGTTCTTTCGGAAAGAATTTCGTCAAGTTTAAAAACAATAAATATGTTATTTACCGGCTAAGGGTCGGTCCGTATGGTGAAAAACTGTGACCTCGGTCTTGAAAATTCTGCCCTCGGCCTACGGCCTCGGGCAGTATTTTCAAGACCTCGGTCACAGTTTTTCACCATACGGACCTCCCAGCCGGCAAATAACATATATGTATGACATACACTCTCGGGAAATAGACAAGAGGAGAGATTCAAACTGCCGTCTTAGTTAAACCAATGTCGAAATTCTGCACAAACCCTAATAAAATCTTTTGTAATTTTGTAAATTCTATGAGTGACATCTACAGTCATACACCAGTTTGCTGTTAATGTAACCAAAAGACTAATTAACTCGGGGGTGAACATGCAAAATCATAATCCTATTCTGACTCGTATTGTTCTCTATTGAACAAGAGCTGCCAGATTTCGGTCCAAAAACACGGTAACTCCATATTCTGAATGGCTACATTGTACATGAATAAAGGGGGTAAGTTTCTGAGGAAACTGTGGTGCTGCAGAGTTAACAATTGAGTTGAAAACGTAAATTAGCCACCATAAAGGGTAAAAAAGCTGACGTTTCGAGCATTAGCTCTTCGTCAGAGCGATTGGAGGAATTGTGGGTTGTGTGTGGGTTTATATGCAAGTGAAGCTACGCCATTGGTGGGAATATCGTCACCATATTCCCACCAATGAACAGCTCAGTAGTTAACACTAAATTACATTGTACATGTGTGGGTGGCCGATTAAAATGCCCAGAATTATTTGGTATCCAGTTCAAACGCACGCAACATTGACATGTTACGCATCAATAATGGCGAAATAGTAGATGAAAGTCTCTCTCATTCTAGTTTTAGCAGATTATTGGAACTTAGAATAAACTATTCATGTTTAACCCCAAACCAGTATTGCGTTGTAGAAGGATCCGAAGAGGAGCAGCGGTGATTCGTATTTATTGCTCCGGAACGATACCGTCCAAAATTATTTTCGTTGTCAACTGCTCCTGGTGACCCATCAAAATCGCATCCGTTTTCCTTGCTTTTGAAACTGTTCACGAACCAAGCACCATTAAGATCCATTCTCGTGTAGGCGGTGCAACCAGAACAGTTAATTCCACGGATGTTAATATACTCAAACAGTATGCAATCTCCACCCCAGTCACCGAATATGTCATGACCTGCCAGAACTGCGCGTGCGTAGTCCGTATACTGCAGGCCATCTGCAGGTAAGTTGCATGTTACTCTCAGATGTGTGGAGTGATTTGAGAGAGACTGCATATGTGATAAGGAAAGGCGGTAAGAGTTCCATTCCGGTTCATTGTTATTGTCATTCACAGGAAAATCCGTGCCAAACCCCTTATCCTTATATGTGGCCTTATTGGCAATGGAGAACGACTGTATGAGTGCCCATACAAAGCCAGATTCTGAGTGCAAGTCACAGTAAACAGAGAACGGTTTATCGGCTGAATCAAAAATATCGTATTTTCCTGATTGTAAGGCTCCGTTATTAGCGATGTCTTTGCAGTTTCTTGGATGTGTAGTCTGACCACAACGCTTACCAGTGTATTTGTAAGAACAGGTGCAATTAAACCTGGGGCTGTGATTGTCACAAATCTCCTGACATACTCCCCCGTTGAGGCAGGGATTCTGGCTGCAGCATCTATTAACGCAGCGATGTATCCCTGGAATGTAGCTTCCTCCACCCTAATTGAAAATGAACCTTTTTTCCTTAAACTATTCCTTGATTAAAGTAAAGTCCGGCGATGCAGGTGTTAAGAAAGAAATTTAGGGGGGGGGGGGTTTGAGGGACGTACAAAAAAGAATTAGTCTTATCGTGCGTATATCAAGTTAGGGATGCACGCGGGAACTAAGTTTTAAGAGCACGAGAGAAGCGTAAGAGTTGCCTGAGTGCTCTTCACACTTCCCAAGTGCATCAAAAACTCGATACACGCACAGCTAAAGCGTGAACAAATTTCATTATAACATAGCATGCAGACACAAGTTGTACTCGGAAAAAAAAGGGTTTATTACAACTTTTTCCGATTTACTAGGTAATCGCGTTCTACCCGAAAACTATGAATAAATGACAGGGTAAAAACGACCAAGAAATATTTCGAGACCAAATCTTTATTCAAAGAATTGTAAATTTTCTGCTCCAAAGCAAAAACGAACGAATTTCTTGCATGCATGAGGGCGTGTAGTAGATTCAACATGCTTGAATCGTTGTTTACCAGAATTCAAGGCCAGAAAATTGCGTATATTTGTGTTGGAGATTTTGAGAATTCAGAAATTATACGGTTTTAAAATAAAAATCTGCTAATGAACAATAATTTTAGGATATATCAACACTTAAAACTGGTATCAACCGTTCAAAAAACGAAGCAATAGCCTATAAATTTCTCGCATTTACGAGACACCTGTGATTGATTTACGCTGCTTGAAATGCCGCTGTTTACTTGAACTTACTACCCGAAAATTGCTTAGCTCTGAACCACAAATTCTGAAAATCGTTCGATTTCGAGAACAAAATCTTCGATTGAACAAAACTTTGGTACATATCAACGCTTTAAAATAATATTTTCCGTTCTAATGAAGAGTTCTCGGCGTGGCAAAGCCTCAGTTGAAGTCAGAAGACTTAGTTCTGTTTTCAGCCATAATTCTCATCGCGTTTGTGAATAAAGTGTTGTCAACTCCGAAACCAATTACGTCGCTCGAAGAGCTACACGCTCATTGTGTTTCTCGAAACGAGTTTTATTCAGCATTTTTTGTTTTCATTTTGAGATACAAAGGTCTATCTCAGTTGGGATAAAACGGAAAAACAATCTTCAGTGATAGTATTGAATTCTCGCGGCTAAACAAGACGGGACTTTTAGCCGAAGTGAAACTGCACACTTCATGTTATGGATGCACGGACGTGCACTAAATATACATTAAGTACTTTGTTATATATTTAGACTTTCCCTTAAACAATCATATGGCAAAAACATGCTGTTGTATTCGGCGCGTGGGCAACAACTGCTCAATTGTATCCCGGTCGGAATACATTTGAATTTGATCAGGGGCACGTGACCAAGAATAAACCTATCACAGTCTCGTTTTGTTGAGGAAAAGTCTAGGTATATAACATGGATTCTTATTACAGTAGCTTCCTTAAGATATAGGTAGGCCTTGCACGTGCGCTATGTTGTGATAAATATGTAAGTAAAAAAAATAATAAAAAAGGCAATTCTATCAACAACTAACGATTCTATCTCTCACCTTCACCGTGTAGCTTCTCACTAAATCATAATAATTTCCTCCTTGACTCCATTTCATCGCCGCTGGCTCCATGTCTTTGTTAGCGTTGTTGAGTTCACAGTTATTTTCTTTGGACAGAGGGAAATAATTCATGGATACACACAGGCAGTCATCTTTGCACTTCATGTGACACTGAGTGGCGCTGTGGACTGTCAATCTTTGAAACACGTGACCCTCAAGAATGTGATTATAGACGACATCCTCATCGATAACAAACTTGAAGTTTTGACAATTTATTGTTGGCTGCGCCCCTTTGGTGTGAGTGAGCTGAGATACCAACAACATCGCATGTAGATGGCGAAGAACACTCATGGTGGACCTACTAAACGTACAAATGAGATGGATATCTTCATTCCATAATTATACCGAGGCATTTAAAATTTAGTTAGTAGCAGGCGGAGTCTACTAAGAAAAAAAGGCAAAAAATCGTGAATAGGTACGTGATCGTACTATGGTGTAAACGCGACTCGACCTCAGGTTACGATCAAGATCTTAACAAGCGCCTTAAAAGTTGTCTCTTCTTTTGACGCGAACGTGATTACGTAATGCTTATTGAGAATGGGGCCATCTTTCTCCAGGATCGAATATCTCGGTGACAGATTAAATAACTTATATTGAAAATTAGCCGAGGTTGAAATGAGAATCTGAGCTACAGTGTGCATGGCGCACTAGATATATTTTGCTGTGTCGATAGTAGAAAAAAGTAACTTTAAACTTATCGAATAGGTCATGCCGCATCAGTTTAGTTTTATTCGATCAACGGAGTAGAAACAAATTACATGTTGTCTCCCTTCAGTAGTTCAGTAACAAACTTTTGGTTTTAACTGAGTACCATCTCTCTTCACTTACCTCAAAATGTCGATTCGATTCGGCTTCAGTAAAATCCTTCGAGAAAGGTTTGCGGGCGAACAGATGTTGTTGAAACTATATGTATGTCCGGTAATATCGATGCACCTTTATACTTAAAAAATAATAGAAAAACACGATAATGAATCAATTAAGATCATTGGCTCTGTTTACGACGTTACCTAGAAGACACCCGAAATAACCAATGGATAAGATATTGCAATACTGTTGACACAGAGTGCTTCACAACTAAAAATTTGCATCAAATAACTGAAATCCGTCACATTTACAGCGGTGATCAAAATCTGATTACCCTTTTTAAATGTCGGGATCTTTTAACTTTTTTATGTCAAAAGACCCCGACTTTTCTGGAAAAGTCAACACAGTGTCCCTCTCAACATAAGTTTTCTTTCGGCTCATATTAACAATGTTTGTTTTCTGAAGTAATTAACCACACACGAGGACCACCACAGCAAGCCATAAAAACAATGTCCGTGGAACAAAGGTTGTTTGTTGCCATCCACCGTTTCCTAAATAAGTAGAAATGAGAACTGTCCAACATTAAATTGTAGAAACAATTCAAACTACCAGTGACCTCCTGAGCTTAAACGTACTGCAAGAACACTAATTGATACAGACAACAATAACTAAGACAGCAGTAGTGGCGTGAGTTCAGAAAGACATAACTGAAACTAAAACTGCCGTCAAACCATCACACAGCTGGATTGCATGCTTAATGAAAAAAGCTAAACTGTGTGATAATCGTGATCGTTTTTCTCCGTTACAAATTTATTCTTCGCAGAGTATCCATAACCAAAGCAATCTTTCTTCGATATCGAGTTCGTTTTCATTCAAATTATATTTTTTCTCGTCCGACCCCATCAGACTCAATGAGTCAATACGTATTTCGTCGTTTGACCGGTAGGACCACCACAAAAAAGATTCTACAGTAAAATCGATTCCTGTATTTATTCGAGTCTTACAATTCATCGAAAAAGCGACTTCTTTCATTATTTATATTTTGTTTACTCAAGTCCAACATTAGGAGTAATGTTCTTGGAAAATGTGGCAGAATCATGCGACTGCATGGCGAAAGGCTATTCGGGAGTTTAAGATGTCACCACGGCGACGTGTGGTAAAACGTTCCTGAAGAAAACCTTATTTATTTTCCTCTAAGTTTCTCACCAATAGCTCGATGCGTTAACCGTTTTTGTTATGCTGAAGTTGAGGTGTGGTGCCGTATGAGGCGGTAAACTCTTGCAGCCATTTTTGAAATTATAATTAAAGGCAGAAATTCATTTTTTAATCGAAGTCTTCCTCGGTGTTGCCGTCCTGACTGCTTAAGGTCCCTTTTGTTCTGTATGGGACGGAAATGTACAAAGTTTTAAAACGCACGTGTTTCGCTATTGTTTTGCTCACTAGATCTTATGTTGCACTTCGTCCTCGTTTTCGTCGCCTTCGTGCTTTTTTTTTTATAAGGAACCATAAGATCCGACGACGGCAACGGCGAGGTCGTGAACTGGGGGGAATGGGGAGAGGTCGCCGTCGTAAGGCGCGAAAAATAACATTAAGAACACTCTTGGAAGACGCAGTCTGTTCCATAACAGGCTTTTGGTTTATAAGTGAAAATATGGCATCCTTTAGAGATATACTTAAACTTCTCCTCGAAAGTGCTGATGACGATGATATTTCCAAGGACGAATTTCTTCTTCTTTACGATGAAAACATCTCGAAAAAAACCCAGATTTCCCTTACGATTGTTATGGAGCATTCGACTTAAATGAGATGGACGACAGCGAGTGTTTGGCTGAGTTTCGATTTCATAGGAATGAGCTTCCCCTCCTTTTAGAGGCCTTGCAGCTCCCTCAGTCTTTCAATTGTCACCAAGGAACCATTCGTGATGGGGCAGAAGCGCTTTGTATAAGATTGAGAAGATTTGCTTACCCATGCAGATACAGCGATTTAATTCCACGATTTGGTCGGCCGGTTCCGGAGCTGAGTATGATTTCCAACCTCGTGATTGATACATTCTATCAACATCACAATCACAGAATGACTCAGTGGAACAATACACTGCTGAACCCTCCACTTCTTGAAAACTATGCCCGTGCGATAAATTTAAAGGAAGTGCATTACTCAATTGCTTTGGTTTTATAGACGGAACAATAAAGCCCATTTGTCGACCCGATGAAAATCAGGGGGTCGTTTATAATAGACATAACGAGTGCATAGTCTCAAGTGCCACTCTGTTGTCTTATCTAATGGTATGATAACCAACATGTACGGCCCAGTATGTAATTGATTTAATCTGATTCGTTGCCCTTCCTTTTTTTTTTTTTTTTTTTTTTTTCTTGAGGTTGAGATTTGAAACTGTACACCCCAACCTCAGCTAACTAAAACACTCATTTTTTTTCCTCTTTAAGAGGGTTCCTCACGATCTGGGGCGGCATGGCTTCTCTACAACAAGAGAACCAATGGCCGCGTATGGTGACCCCGCCTATCTCCTACGTGTCCACCTTCAGGTCCCTTACAGAGGTGCCAGAATAGCACCACAAATAGAGTTGTACAACAAAGAGTCTAAAAGTTTGTTATACAATGTAAGATTTTAGGTATAAAAACAAACAACAACGTCAAATATAAACTTGCCTGATAAATGATTTAAATGCTGAAACAAGCATTCACAGCAAAATCAAAGATATTATGAATATCTTTATGCAAATTTAAGCCGAGTTAATCTTGTTTTTCTGAGGTAAACATCTGCTGAAAACTTTGCATCTGCTCAAGTTGCTGCTTAGTTTGTTCCACTAATACCTTTAGCATATCCTGATGATGTTTTCTTGGTTGATCTTCCTGTTTACACTCAACTTCAACTCGTTGCTTTTGCAGCTGCAATTCTCCTTCTTTCCACTTCTGAACGCGATCATTTTTTTCACGCAAATATGCAATTGTGTCACCTCCACTTCTACAACTTTTTTTGCTTTGGTTTCACTTCCTCCTCCTCTTCATTCCGCTGCCTTTTCTGAGTTCTTCTCAGGTTTTCTATAGCCTCTGTTTCTCATTTCCGCTGCTTTTTTGTTTTCAGTTGTCTTATTATCGTTTTCTACGGTGTCTTCAGCTGCAGCTGCGACTATTTATTCCAGAGCCTTTTCCAACTCACTCAAATGACATTCACACTTGCCTTCACTTCGTCTTTCATCTTTGTTTTAAATTTTCCCTCAGCAGTATGTATCTTTCTCTAACAGCACGCTTACTGACTTAGAATCGGGGAAGCTTGAGGCCGTTCAGATTGTTTGCAACTTCGGTCAGTTTTCGCCTTAAAATGAGTTCTAGAACCATTTACATTTGTCACAAATTTGGAAAAATGTTGACAGTTCATCATATATTGAAAATATTTTTCGCAGACAACACAGTTGATTTTGCCTTTAGAAATGCTTCCTTTTTTGCACTTAAAGGGTTCAGGTACTAAAATTTCTTGACACAAGCAGTTGCCATGTCCCTTGGTCCACTCCACCCCACCGACGCAGCACCACAGTTTCCTCAGAAACTTACCCCCTTTATTCATGTACAATGTAGCCATTCAGAATATGGAGTTACCGTGTTTTTGGACCGAAATCTGGCAGCTCTTGTTCAATAGAGAACAATACGAGTCAGAATAGGATTATGATTTTGCATGTTCACCCCCGAGTTAATTAGTCTTTTGGTTACATTAACAGCAAACTGGTGTATGATTGTAGATGTCACTCATAGAATTTACAAAATTACAAAAGATTTTATTAGGGTTTGTGCAGAATTTCGACATTGGTTTAACTAAGACGGCAGTTTGAATCTCTCCTCTTGTCTATTTCCCGAGAGTGTATGTCATACAACACCTTCTTCTATCACGGGGTGTTTTTACCAACACAAAACAGGAACAAATTACACTTGAAGAAATCCCAGGAGGACGATCAGTGAGCAATGTTGTAAAAGGATATGTGACAAGATCCACAGTGTTTTGTCTTTCCAACTACATAACGGAAAAAATGGCGTTAAATATCAATGACCGTCAATCTTAACTTGCACCAACTTCAGTCAATACATATCAACGAAAGTCTTCATTAAAAGTGCTCTACCAGAGAACACATGTCCCCGAGTTGATTTGATCCAAGCAATACAAACGACTGATTGTCTCAGTTGCTTTCAAGACTACAATTACTATAGAAATTCATGGTCATTATTACATTGTCACCGCTAAAATGCAAAAATGAAATGCGAGTCTAAGTTAAAAGGTTTCGTTCCAATGATTACTAGCACGTTGAATTAAGCTTTGAAAACGAGAACTATCTCAGATACATAGAGATGATTCCTTGGAAAGTGCGTACGAACGATTTTTATTCACCGGTTACGATAAACCATTAAAAAAAAAACCAGTGAGCGCAGCGAACAAAAAAGTTTTTGGATGAATCGCGTTTTCCATGATATGAAGTTTT